AACAAAGAACAAAGCTCTACAAAATACAAGAGAATAGAACAAATAAACAAAACCACATCCTTCATTCTGCAACAGCGACGCCAAAAATCTATCGCCATTGTAGTAACAAAAATATGATTGAGCAAAGGTCTGAACAACTTTCTTCTTCAAGACTTGCTCTTCCCGTAATAATCGCCTGCTAAAGAGATACTGAAACAACCGCTTATCGAACAATCAAATATTGAAAAGTAGAGAAAGATCTTCAATAATGTCTAGAAAGTCGGGTGGAGTTTCTGATAAAGAGGAAGAACGGTTTAAAGAAGGAAAAAACTCCCCAAAGTCACTTCGAACTTCTAAACCAGAATCAATGCTACTAAAGTTGACTTCCTGATCCTCACTAAAATCTGAAAGTTCTTCTTCCAAAGCCTCTTTGACAATGCCATCATTAGTTGAATAACTAACCCCTTGAGAAAGATGAATATTCTTTGAAAAATTCTGAAAATCTTCTTTCAAGACCTCAATTTCAACAGAAGAAGCAACCATCAATGAGATAACTTTCAAACCCTTGCTGCAGTTATATTTCATTGAAAACTACTTAACAAAAGAAAAAAGCTCAACTTCGAGGTTTAGTTTCAAAAAGGGTGAACCATACTACACAGTGACGAAAAAGTCTTTTCTTTGTTGCTGATAAGTGAACTATAAGTGATCTAGCCGAAGAAGTCTCTTAAAGATTGGGAGAATTGGAGGGAAGAGAGAGTTTCTCGTTGAAAAGAGACTTAGATAAACCTTTTAGTCTTTTGTTCCCCCGGCTCTACCATCTTTCTGATAAGAGGTTGCATTTGATGGCTGCTATCATGGATCCTTGGGGGAGGGGGTTGCGCCCTTTGTCTCTTTGGGGCTTTGGGGCTTCGTCGTTCTGTGACTGATCATGAGTCTCTCGAGGTTTCCGCTTTGCTTGGCTTGTTGTTGGAGGTTTCTTTCAGTCCCGGGAGAGAGGATATGCTTGTGTGGTCCCCCAGCCCTTCTCGGGGTTTCTCTTGCAGCTCCTATTTTCATGTTTTAAGCTCCCCAGATTCTTCCCTGTCGACCCCTTTGTTTACCTCTCTTTGGAAGATAAAAATTCCGAAGAAGATAAAGTTCTTTGGGTGGTAGGTCTTACTTGGGAAAGTCAATACCTTGGATCGTATTCGGAGGACTTCGTCCTTGTGTTTGGGCCTGTAGTGGTGTGTTCTTTCTTTGCAGAGGGGCCTCTGAAGACCTCGAGCATTTGTTATGGTCTTGCCAGTATGCTCAGAAGATCTGGATTCGTTTTTTTGACTGTTTTGGGGTAGAGCTTGCCCTTCCTAGGGATCTTAGGGCGTTTTTGGAGGTGCTGCTTTCCCCTCCTTTTCGTGATAGGGGGCGGTTCTTGTGGCAGACAAGTTTTTTGTCTACTTTGTGGGGCATTTGGCTGGAGAGGAAAAATAGAATTTTTAGGGGGGTGGAGAAGACGTTGGATTCTGTTTGGGACCTTGTTAGGTTTAAGACTTCTTCGTGGGCTTCGGGTCTCTAAAGTCTTTTGTAATTATCAGTTAGGTGTTATTCTTTTGGATTGGACCTCTTTTCTTTAATGGGTGTCCTCTTTTGGGGCTGTTTTTTTGTGTGCCCTTCTTGTATTTTTTTTTCATTTTTCTCAATGAAAGTGCGGATTCTTATAAAAAAAAAATCCTCTAAGGTGGTAGTTTTCTTGGAAAAGAAGCATTGTAATTTTTTGTGGAAGCCGAAGGGAACTGGAAGCACCTGTAATCTTATCAATCAAAAGGTTTCTTTGCCTATTGATTAGGGAGGCCTTGGTATTGGAAGCCTCAGAATCTCTTTGCAAAATCATCAACGACAAATATTTTTCTAGCCCCATGAGCTGGCTGGTGTGCTCAAAATTCTTCTAGTGTAGGAAATAGAAATCATTGGAGCTTTATTTCCAATTGCTACAACATTGCTAAACCATAGTACAAGATAAACCATAGTACAATTGCTACGTATCCTCTTTTAGCAGGGGCATTTGGTTGAGAGAGAGACTTTTACTGCTATTTATGGAGTTGAATCGGTGGGGGTGCGTTTGTTGGTTGGGATCTTGTTAGATTGTTTTACTCCTTATGTTTCACTATGTCAAATAATTACAAAGAAGCCTGGACATAAACACGCAGTATGGAAAAGACACACAGCTATTGTGATACATCATTTTCTTTTCAAAAAATTTACGACATGGGCAAGACAAAGACACATCAAACATGTATGATTATTTCATACATTTATATTATTCTCCAGTTAAAAATAAGGAAATTAGGTGTGAATAATCAATATATCCATATATAATGTGATGTGAGTTGGAAAACATGTGAATATTTTTCCTGCTTAGGCTGAGATTAATGGTCCTATAACATGCACGTTATTGTTTAGTTTGACCAAATCCAGTGTCTTGCTCAGTTTTATCTCTTTTTGAGTTCATATTTTTTAATAACAAACAATTTCATTGATGGTGTGCAATTATAAAAGAGGGTAACCGTATCCAAGGGAGTTACTTAAAACTTCTCCAATTAAATAATAGGGAAGAAAATTTATATTGATGGGTAAGAGTATATGTTGTGTGGCTTAGTATTCAAATCAAGCATTATATTATGATGCGAAATGACATTCATGCTCCTTATTGTGTAGGTTCTTGATAGAGGAGAGAAGATAGAACTTCTAGTGGATAAGACAGAAAACCTTCACAACCAGGTTTGTGTCATCTCTTTTCCTTGCCCCTGATAAATGTATCTGAATATGCTCATGGATGAAATATTATATTGGATTTCAATATTTGTACATGAGCATTGTTTACGACTGGAAATAATAGATGTAACACTTGTCACTTCAACTGGCTGAACTATTTCCACAACTGTTGCATCAAAACTATCGCCACAAATGTTGCAAGTTGCAACCCGATAGATTTTTTGTATGGTAGTCGTTGCAAATATAGCGTCACACATTCAGTTCGTACATGCAAGCAGAAGTGTGACAACTGGTAGATGAGTTTAGTTGGCCATTTTTGAGAAGTTAAAGTAGATGGTTTCCTGAAACGGCCAACGGGGATGGCAATTTTATCTCAATTTTTTTTTAATTGTTCTTAACTATGTTTATCAAGTGGATAATAATGACTAGATGCAACTGTGTATAGTGGAATTTGTATTTGATTTTTTCTGTGAGCATGTAAATTAATTGAGAATACGGTTCCGAGTAAGGAATAATCCCAAAGTGTCCTTCAGAAACCAATCTTCATTTTGAAGCCTCAAGGTACATTCCATATAATCTTATAATTACAAAAAAACCAATGACACTAGATGCACTTTTATCTCCAATTTAGGAGTTGTATTTCTTGTACAGGCACAGGACTTTAAGAGTAGTGGGACGAAAATTCGAAGGAAAATGTGGCTACAAAATATGAAGATCAAGTTGATCGTTTTGGGGATTTTGATAGCATTGATCCTTATCATAGTCCTTTCGGTTTGCCGCGGCTTCAACTGTGGAAAATGAACGCTTTCTGAAGGAGGAACCTCACAGTGAAATCTTTTGGCATGGTATTTTGAGAGAGAGAAGTGATGATATACATGATTTGGCTATGTATGTAGTAAAGTAAAACAAAGTTCAGAATCTCTGTTTTGTTAAAAGCAAAATTTACGTGTGAATGATCACTTATAATATTCGTTACTTTTTTTTTTCCTTGGAAGACAACATGAGGTTTGAATTTTCTGAATTGGAGATAAAATGCGCTATTCTGTTTTTATGGAATGGTGAGTCTTTATAGTTTTGTAGTTATTTCTTATTTACTCTGCTTATCAGTAAGTTCTTGGGGGTGTTTTGGATATATGGCTGTTTTGAGTTTTATTACAGGGAATATAAGAGTTTATTAGAATGAAAAGTAAGAAAAATGGAAGTATGTAAAGATGGTTTGTTTGAAAGAGATGCATTTTGTTTGACAATACACTTTCTAGTGTTTGTGTTTTGGAATTATCGAGCAAGCTTCGATCTTAAGAAGGTAATAGATATCTTATTCACTTATCTATATTTAAATTGGTAGTAATTATTATGATTTATTTGGTATGTAAGGACAATGTTTTAAATATTGATGTCGATGAAAATGTTGAGGTCTCAATTCCATGGAAATGTTCATAGATTTTTAGAAATCTTGAAAAACTAAAAATTTATACAAATATTTTAAATAAAAAATGATTAATATTAATATTATGTTTATATTAGTGATGTTTTGTTAATATTTTTATATTTTATCGATTTTTTTTTTTTTTTTGCAATAGTATGAAAATGATTTATCTCTTGTTGATGTCGATTTTCATGGACATGTGAAAATGTCTACATGTAGATGGATATTTAATGTTTTGGGTAAGTAATGAGACGTATATATAATCTCGAGAAATTCTTATGCGCAAAAGTTTTTGTAATTAAAATTAGCAAAATGGGCAGGATTGGTACAAAAGGTGGAATAATATGCTTTTCCAAGTGATGTCATATCAGAAGATAATATTGTTCTTATGCTACAATGTTCTGGTTGATTTGTAGGAATGAAAATCTAGATTTTGAAAAAAACAATGGAAATCAGAATCTTCATCTGATTTTTGAATTTAAATAAACATTTCATTCAAATGATAATTCAACCATTTTGGAGAGATGGGCAAAATATAAGATAATGAAGTTCAAGTTAAAAAATTAATCAAGTCTTATAGTTTGTTCTTTTCTGCTAGTTTTTTTTGTTACTAAACTTTCGATATTGTTAATACGATTAACTAAATGGTGATATGACACGTTGGTTGGACGCATATTAAATGTAGCAAATAAATAATATGAGAAAGTGGATAATTGGATAAAATAAAATCATACCACATTCTTAAGCATTATTGACTTATTTTAGGTATCTATAGTTTGCAAAATAGTAAATTGTAACATTCTATAAATTGGTGTTGTTGAATTATAATGAATTTATTACACAATACACCTAAAATAAGTCATGTTAGCCAATTTTGTGGAAATCAATGACACGTTTTAACACAAAAAGGGCATGTGACAAATTTTTGTAAATCACAAAGTTGCTTAAAATTATATATAAGATAAAAATATTTGATTTGCAAATTTTTTCAAACTATAGAAATGATTGTAATTGTCGATCTAAATATATAGCTCAATTGATTAATGTATTAAAACCTTAACCAAAAGGCTAGACGGATAACGTAATTGTAATTGCTAACATGAACTAACCAATACTTCATTTCTTAAGGTTAATAGTATAAATTTTCACACCCTACTTTTTTTTACTGAAAAATTGTAATATTTTATATTTCTACGACGAAAAAAGGTTACCAAATAACCATTTAATATCTCAAATAGTAAAATATTGGTGCCGGTTGTTTATGATTTTGTAAAGTTTGAATCTTTACCTCTTATTTACGATGCACTATTTTATCCGTTTATAAAATGCTGGTAGAAAACTAATTGACTTTGAATTTGTTTATAAAAGTCACACACCCAACCAACACTTTGCCATCATTTTACCAATAAACTCAAACCTATCTAATAAATGTTGACCAATCCACTTTGGATGAAACTCAACAAACTTCAATAATAATAATAATAATAATTATGAAAGTTTGAGAGACAATTGAGGGTAATGTGAAGAACTTAGCCCACACGGTTTTGAATTGAACAATGAACATTGAAAATGGCTTCCACTTTAATTTCAATTCCCATAACTTCAAAACTGTCACAAATTATAAATGAAAAAGTCTTCAAATTTAAGGAAAGAAGTCAAGAAAGGGATTTCACTATGACTTGACTTGTAAAATAATTAAAAAAAATTATATTTAACTACTCGGTATCCTTGTTTGGTTTCTTGTTTCTTGTTTTGCTTTGCTTTCTTTTTATAAGATAAATATATTTTATTTTGTACAAAACTGCTTCGTCAAGGCTTAAATCATAATACGAATTTTCAGATTCTCTTTCTCTCTCTCTTTTTGGTCTATTAAAGGAGGAAGAAGTAGCTTTGTAATGTTTTATTGAATGAAATAATTAATAATTTTATCTATCTTAAAAAAGTGGTGTTTCATTGACATTTTATAAGTCATAATGGCCATTGTTTTGGGTACAGATTCAATCAGATTTCTCCATTTTTAGGTATGCATTTATGAGTTGTCAAGTCTCCTCAAAGTTTCTTGTTGAGATATTCGTAAAAGATTAGATTTATTCTGACCTACAAACTTAAACTTTTGAGTTCATTGGTTGGGTGATACCTCTTCTTTATTTTATGATATTATTTGTTTTGGATCAAATCAGGTACAAATTTACCTTGTTAATTTATAAAGATGTATTTTTACTCATATATTCCTTCCTAATCAGTATCATCATACTTTGACTTTTCCTCCTTATTTTTACCGTGACAGATATGGTTCATTTTGAACTTTTAATTTTGTCTACTAAATAATATCTTTATTTTTCTAGCTAACTTATAGTATTATATTTCATTCTTTTACATATTTTATTCTTAAGCAAACAGAAAGGCAATTCCAACTAGATCTTCCTCAAATCCTATCCATAAAGATAGAAAAAGGCATCCATTTTCTTAATGTTGATATCAATGGGTGCCCACTAAACCCAATATTTGGAGTAGAATACAATCTCTCTCTCTCTCTCTCTCTCTCTCATAGAAAGCTATGCATCAATGTCATCTCCATATTGGGTGGTGGAGTAATTAATTAATGTTGATTTTCATAATTTAAAATTACAAATTGCAATTGAATGAGACATAATTATTGAGCCCTATGTATGAGTTAGGTATGCACTAAACTTAGCCTTGAGGTTGCAATCAACTTCCAACTAAAAAAAAAAAAAAACTTCACTTTTTTCATAAAAAAGGAAAAAAAAAAAAGAAAAGAAAAAGTAGATAGCTAGGCACTAACCTTAGTTTTTAGGGTGCTATAAAAAAAATCTTCAGAAGGGTATTTATTTATTTTTTTGATAAGGTTGGCATATGCAATTATGTATATAAAACTCTACACTTTTTCATCACTTTYTGTTTCCTCTCCCACCAAATGTACATTAATTTTCTTAAAGTAAATAGTACTCCCTCGTGTCTTGAAAAGGATATTTTATTTTACAATCTCTCTCGTAAAAGCTTATTCAAAGCGGTCATCATAACGTACCTTGTCTTTTAAGCCTACATAGTTGAAAAACCAAATTTTGATCGTCCCTTGTCTACTGCCATAAAATTGACAGCAACCTCGTTATTATAAATACACACTTTCTTCTAGTTAGCACTACGACTTTCTAACATAAGAGATACCATTGAGAAATTATTAAAAGCAGTCRTCAGATATAATAGTTGTCATTCTCGTAACCATTAAGTGTATATATACAAATGGTTAAAAGAAACATCATACTGATCTCTCTCATGCACCCGTTAATGATAAAAGCGACAACCATATATTTTCATCAACCACATCGATAAATCCACATCTTCTTAAAGTAAACCATACACGCCCTCAGAAACTTAAAAAGGGTCATTAAAAATTTGCAATCTTTCTCTCTCTCTCCTCTCTCTTTGTGGTGAGAGAAACGTGGGATGGGACCCGATGTGAGAAAATGTGTGTTGAGAAGCAACATGGGACTCTTTCAAGGTGATGGGAAATAATAAATATTTGTCCCAAAGCAAGTTGCAAGTTGTAGGGTCCAATCTTGCATACTTTTTTTTTTAGGGTTTTGAAGATAGAGAGAGAGAAAAAAGTAACATGTTTTTCTGATAAACAATAGCCTTCCAGAGTTCCTTTTTTTGGAGGTTTAAAACCACTACCCACCCCCATATACCTTTATTATAAGGGCAGATTTTGTCCACTCCATCTCCCACCAAACCCCCACATGGGAATATCTATGCAAAGTGGGGAAACCCCAAGTTTCCAATAAGGACTAATCAGTGCCCTTCAAAGGGATTTAAGGGCACAGGTGACCTCAGATTGTGGGGCACTCCCAATTCCTCAGTTGGGAAGAAATTTAAAGTGGGGTTCCCACTCCTTTTTATCTTTGATTTATCATACACAAAACAGATTGACTTGTCCTGCCAAAAGCACAGAGGAGGGAGAGAGAGAGAGAGAGAGAGAGAGAGAGAGAGAGAGAGAGAGAGAAAAGAAAAAGAGAAGGAAAAAACTTTGGCATAGCCATATTCTTGCATGTGGGATGAACTAAAAAGTTTGTCCTCATGCCTCTCTTTAGTTATTTTCCATCTCTGCAAACCAGATGGGTGTGATGTCAAATTCATACAAGAGATCAGGGATTTATGTTATGATTATGAATATCAAATGTCATGAAATGGCCAAATTATGCATCACCTTTTCAGAAAGTGAAACAGAAGAACTCTAATTTTATCTACTTTTTTTTTAAAAGATATATATATTTTTTCTCTTCTCTCCCAATAATTCTTAATTCTCTGAACTGATAAAAAAACCCGAGATAAAATCATATGTTTGGGAATAAAAATATAAGTGGGATTTGGGAGGAAAAAAGAAGAAGGTGAAGATAACTCAATGGTGAATGATATTTATTCTTTTCCGACCTACAGGATACTCCCCATTTTTTGTACTAAGAAAGATAAGAACAAGTTAAAAAGAAAATTGAGTTTTTGTATTTGCCTAAATAGCATAAAATTTAATTATATATTTTTAGATGAAGTAGAAAGTTGAATATTTTATTAAAAAATGTAAAAATAATTTAATTAATGAATCAAACTCAAATGT